GGGTTTAACAAAAAAAAAAAAAACAAAAAAATCGATCATGGATTATAAGAAAAGAAAACAAACATTTCGATCATGGATTACAAAAATTCTATTATGGGTTACAAAAACCAAAAAATTCGATCATAGATTACAAAAAAATCTATCATGGATTACCTAAAAAAAAAAAAAAAAAAAAATTACCGTACGGAATCGCCGATTCACTGTTCGGACTCGCCGATTCCGTACAGTGAATCGGCGATTCACTGTACAGAATCGTCCGGTTCCCTCTAGAACCGGACGATTTCCGATTTTTGGGCGATCCGGTTCCTTTTTCACTATTTCCGAGTCGAACCGGGCGAGTCCGGTTCGACTCGGCGTTTTTTAAAACGTGGTTTTATCAAATGTAGACCTTAAAGGCAAGTGGGTGGCTCCGGCTTTAGGGGTTTTAAAACTTAATTTTGATGGAAGTTCATTAAAGAACCCTGATCTAGCATGTTTTGGAAGACTGATTAGAAATTAAAACGGAGATGTTATTTTTAAGTATGCAGGACCTCTCACGGTGAAGACGGCAAATTATACCTAAATCTATGGACTATTACATGGCCTACGATTTTTTGTGACAAAAAATCTAGGTTCTTACAAAAAAGATTTTTGGTCGCAAGAAATATGAGTTCTTAAAACATGACTCCTTGAATGTTATAAATTGGTGTAATGGGATGCAAAAAGCAACTTGGGAGTTTAAGTCTGTCTTACAACATATTTTGGATATTTCAAGACCTTTTATATTTATTTTCATGCATGTTTATCGGGAAGCCACTTATTACCTTTCCAAAGGGTTTCCTTTTTATCTGAGACAATTGTCTTGACGCTTCAATATCGTTTTGACTTAATAATATTTTAGAATTCCTTTAAAAAAAAATCCTATTTAAATCTTAAAAACTTTCCTGAGCGAAGAAATAGCTATTCCCCTTGTGTCGGAAACACTCACTTCTCGTGTCCCCTTTAATTATTAAGCCTTTGGTACCCATGTTTATATTTTGACAAGATTCCTGGAGGAGTTCTTATTAGGGCCAGCAACAAGCCTAGTCCGGTCCAGCCCTAACCTTAGCCAGGCGCTGGTCCTTATTAGGCTGGCTCGAGCCTTTCAAGAGGCTCTCACTTGGGTGCAGCCCTAAAAAAAGGAAAATCGAAAGGGCTGCACAGGGCCATCTTGTCATGGCTCTAGCCCAGCCCTAGTCCAGCAGTGGCCCAATCCTAAGGACACATTTTGTGGCCCGTGCTGTAATTTTAGGGCTGGCCCGAATGGACTGGGCCACCGAGCCCTAACATTTTTTCAGATGAGCCCTACAACTGCAATATGAAGTTGTAATAAGATAAAAACACTCACGATAGTCGTAACTCCAGAATTGAACAAGTAGACATTAATTGCCCACATAAACCTCAAAGAAATACAACATAACTCAGCTTCAAGCTACTTGCTAAATAATCAGCATCAAAATACATGCGTTAGGTTTTAAAGAAAATGGAAAACAAGCACCCATGCAAGGAAAAGTCTCCAAGACTTCTGAGGGAGGGGACGGGGGGTCAAGGGAGGAGAGAATCTTTGATTACAAAGTCAGGGAGGTACAAAGAAGGCCCACAGTTACTTTCTGTTTGCCATGCTGATGGAGCTGACCTTCATCGGTGTGGCCACAACAAGAGGTGCCTCGGGGGAATGAGATACAGCAAACCTTTCATGCATGAAGCGGCTCTCCACAATTGATTCATCCTTCAACACAATCTTGTAACAGTAGCAACTCTTGAGGCCTTCCTGGTTCCTATAGCACTCGTGCCCGCTCTTCTTCACTTGATGGAAGTTCCAAATGATGCTGAACTTACCCACGCTTGCGACAAGATGACGTTCCTGCTTCCCATTCTCTGTGATCTGAAGACATCATTGAGTAAACAGGCCACCAATAAATAGTTCTGGTTTTGAAAGCCAAGTATGTAACCTATGGACCTTTCCGCAAACTTCTAAAGATGGAAACCAAATTCAAGTACTCAAGCCTGCATGCTAACCTGCATCAAAGAGCAACTCTCTCTCTCTCTCTCTCTCTCTCTCTCTCTCTCTCTCTACGTCGTACGTACGTACGTACGACGACGACGACGTAACGTAACGAACGTAACGTAACGTAACGTAACGTAACGTAACGTAACGTAA